TTTTTTTTGAAACCGCTACATTTAGAGCACCACTTTACATGCAGCCTCCACGCAGGTTTAGCTGAAGAGTGATAGAGACCTGTGTGTTTTTCCTGGTGTGTTTCTGGGAGGCCAACCGGGCGATGAAGTTGGATTCATGGCCTTCTGCCTGGTTTGCATCCGCAGCTCCACTCCCGTGTTCCTGTGAAATCCAAGCCATAAAAAGGATGAAGGCGGAGGAAGCTATACAAGCACCTGGTTATAGGCTGCACTGCACACCACTCCTCTCACCATTACTCCCATCCCAGCATCCAGCATCATACGCAGTTGGCCTTCTGTATCCGCGGACACAGAGGGCCCGCTGTACCAAGCCATTTTATATATGGGTCTTGCACAGCCACGGATTTTGGTATCTACAGGAGTCTTGGAATCAATCCCTCTCAGAGCCCAAGGAATGACTGTAACCACACCAGCTCTGGAACTCACCCACGACTAAGGCCTGGCCTGTGGGCAGAAACAGGAGCATCTAGACCCAATCTGTTACCCTCTTGGTTGGCACCGCTTTCGCAGCGCTTGTTAGTTCCTTGTTACAGGAGGTAATGGTTTACTCTGAAGACCTCGATTAAAAATCTGGCTTCATCACCAACCAGCATGTACCCTTGACATTGTTATTTAACTTTACTGGGACTTACTTAATTCAGATATAAGTGTCTTATCTTGTAGGGCCACTGTGAGAACGTACTGAAGTAACGAAACGCTCAGCACCTAATGCGTGCTCAGTAAATGGGGTGGAGGGGTTATGAGAAGTATAAACTGTTTTAATTATTGCTGGAAAAAAAACCAGGGGCTTGGAGAGGCCAAGGGAGTTGTCCAGAGTGACCACTGAGCAGCAGGTCCTCTGGCTTCCAGTGCTCCTCTGAGGCAAGCCCGTGCCCCAACTGTGGCCACAACAGACGCAATGCTCCCCATCAATGAAAGAAGAAGTAAGGAGCCCGGTGAACCAGCAAGGAAAGGGGAAGCACAATTAGAAGCATATTACTGCATGAAGTCTAGATTCAGCCTTTCTACCCTTAGGAGCTTTCTGAAAAATAATATGAACCTGATTGCCCACAGAGAGCTCTAATAACTTTTCTCGTTAAGCACATCCTTTACAGTGTGTAGCAAATATTCTGGGGTTTGTTCTGGGAGGCATATAAAAATAGATGTAAGGTCCATTTTCCCAAAGAATAGGAAATATTTTAGATGTCGACAATGAAAAACACCTCATGACACCTCATGTGAATCAACTACTGTTAAACAGAACATGATTTCGGGCAGGGAGAAGGGACCCCCTAAGAGGCAGCTGGCGGAGGCAGCGAGGGCCTCTCACCTCCTTCCCCTGCTCCTTCTCGGGCGCGGCCCCGGCCAGCTCCACCGCCTGCATGCTCTGCACGCTCTCCAAGCCTGTCTGCCCGCAGGAGTCATGCTCCTTCCTCTCTGTGGCCTCTGGCACCCGCTCCTCAGTGTCAGGATTCTCCCCTTCTTCTTCTTTTTCTTGCTTCTACAGGGAAAGCAAACATGGCATTAAATGCTCTGGGGGAAGAACACGAGGTGGGGCCCTGCAACAAGCAGGCACCCCTCCTTCCCTCCTTACCACGGGGAGTCTGCAGGGAGGGGATCAGCCAGGGAGGGTCTTAAACAGAAACTTAAAGCTGCTTGGCAGCACCACCTGGTCATGAAAAGTATCTTAAGAGATTTTCTAGAGGGAATAAGGTCATTTCTTCTCACTGCTGTTATTTTCAATAGAAGTCAGGCTAGACACACAATACCTGAGGCTGGAGACCTTGATCCACAGGGACGTGACTGTCTGCACTTTCCTCACTGGCGTCCTTGTCCTCTGCAGATGGCTGCTCCTCCTCGGAGTTTTCTTCAGGATGCTGGGTGGCATCCTCGTCTTGGTCATCAGCTCCCATGTCCATCTCTTCCTCCGGCTCCACCTGATCCTCCTCCCCGTGGCCTTCCTCAGGCTCGTGTGGGCTCTGACCTTCACCTTCACTCTGGGCAGCCTCAGTCTCTTCGTTTAGTGCCTCAGCTTCTCGATCTGTTTCTTCACTATCCATTGGTTTTTCTTTAATCTCCAAAGGATTCTCTTCTGGACAGGTGAAACGAAAACAAGGAGCACAGAATTTCAAAACCAAACAATATGATTTCTTCAGATGGGATGCAGTTACACAAGTGTTTTATCATTATTCTCAAACCAGGAGTTGGCAAACTGTGGCCCTCGGGCCAAATCTGGCCCTCCACATATTTCTGTAAAGTTTCATTGTAACACAGCCACATCCATTCGCTCACCCTCCACCCTGTCTGTACTGCCCAGAGCTGCTTTCATACTGCAAAAGCAGGACTGAGTGTTTGCGACCTCTGGTGCAGCTTATGGTCTGCAAAGACTAGAATGTTTATTATCTGACTGTTCACAGAAAATTTTTGCCTACATCTGCTCTAAACCGTACTTACAACTGTTTACATACAACTGTTTGGATGGTGCATTTCATTAAAGAATAGTAACCGATCCACTAAAAAATCCTAAAAACCACAATGATAGGAATATTTTAGAACAGATAGGAAATGCCAGTCTAATTTGCAGTTATCATTGGGAATAACTGGTGGACATCAGACTTCACCATACACAGAAAATACAACATGCATTCACATGGGACTAATCTTATTTGAAAATGACTTATTTATTTAAAGAGCTTTTCTATACTTTGGACACTTTAGAAATCAGTTATATTGTTTGCAAAAAAATATTTTAAAATAATTGCTTCCTAGTTTATATACACAATAGGTTAAAACAAACCTGGATATTTTTCTAGGGCAAAGAGCTTATTAGAAAACCAGTGGATTTTAATTTTCTTAATCTTATGCTTGCTTGGTGGTTGAATTTAAGGTTGAAGTCAGATTGCAAAATTAAAAGGCAATGAAACGGCCTCAGAAGCAACAACTTAACTACATTTAAAAAGTAAACTAAAGAGTCACAGAGCAAAGAATGTTCTAACCACAAAGAAAGCCTATATCAAATCCTTAACCAAATGGTGTTGTTAAATATTAAATTCACAAATTTAACCAACAAATTATTTTTAATAACCAAATACTTTAAACATGGAAAATGCATTTTACATTTAGGAGAGCCATATACTCACCTCCTAGATTTAGCAGATGTTAACATTTTGTCATAAATGTATCAAATTACTGCCACTTTTTAAGAAACAAAGGGTTTACAACTATCTGGATTCTGGATGCCTTCACCCTTCCTACTTCCTCAGAGGTTAAACATTTCTTTTCTGGGCTTTCATACATTTGATGACTCCAGAAACACCACACAGCATTGTTTCTTGTATTAAATTTTTACATAAACAGTACCTTTCATTTATTCTTCTGTAACTTGCTATTTTTGTTCCACCGTGGTGTTTTCATTAGCTTTCTAAATATGTAACTGACTCACTAAGAAGCAGGAGGAGGCTGCCCCGTCTCTCCGTCTGGTTACTCACCATGAGGGGGGCCTCAGCTACGGCAGCGTCTCCCACACGGTGCTTCCAATACCAGACAGCACCCGCTATGGAGTCACACTCGGTTGAACAGTGGGTGACACAGGCACTAGGTTACTGTCAATGTGCCATGTGATTTCTCTTGAGATTTTCAGTTTCACTTCCCACTATGATTTCATATTTCAGACTAAACACACAACATAACACACAACATAACATAACACACAACATAAACACACAACAATCAATAACTAAAACAGTCATTTCCCAGGAAAGCAGTCACTGGGCTCCGCGAGAGGGCCGGCTCTCCGCAGACTGCGTATGTTTACATCAGCCCAGGAGGCGGGCCACGGTGATGGCACCACCCCGCACAGCAGCCCTGGAACCCAGGACGGGATGACACGAGTGACAGAGACCTGCTGGCTTCCAAGCGTTAGGTCTGTTTAGAGGAAAAACATGACAAAGAAAAAGCAATTTTCTCAAACTGGAATTGAGCTGCTGACCAGACGTGATCATGACCTAACCACAACACTGGCCTGAAAAGAAATTTTCAATGACTTCCAACTGGGTTCCTTAGATTTTGAAAGACACACCTTCTCCTTCGTGGTCTGTGTCCTCACTGCCATCCTTGTCTTCGCTGTCCAGGTTTAAGTCATCCGGAAGGTCCAAGGCCTCAGGTTCTGGCAGTTTTTCCTGGTTGCCATGGTAAGGGTCCACCTCATTCTCATCGTATTCCCTCTTTGGATAATGGAGAGAACAGGGAAAAAAAATAAAAAACTTTTTTAAAAAGTAGCTTTCACATAAATTAGCTCTAAGCACAGCTGACCCTTGAACAACACAGGTCTGAATAGTGTGGGTCCACTTACACGGACCACTGATGAGGATTTCTTTCAATAAATACACGCTGCACAGGTCTGTAGTTGGTGGAACCCGTGGACGCAGACGGTCAACTGTAAGTTACGGGCAGATTTCCAGCCTCGCAGGCGGTCAGTGCCCCTAGTGCCCAGGTTGTTCGAGTGAGGGTCAACTGTAGTTACGTTGAGAGAATACAGTATCTCTTCCCTAAATTTACCAGGACACATTAGAATATTACTAATATTTTTAGAATTCTCGTGTTTTCAAAATTTCAAATTTCACTTTCTGTGCACGTTCTGCACTGAAAAGTTTTGTGTTACTTAATCTTGAAGAAGAAACTGAAGTTTATAGGAAGAAATACAAAAAAGGATTTAGCTTCTAAACTATAGCACAAGCCCAAACAGCATGAAGACCACCTCACTGGTAACCAGGAGTAAACTATTTTATGTCTGGTTCATAAGCTCTGTTGTACATTCTTTGATGAGGAAGCGGGAAAACAAATGATAAGTAGGAAGAAAACATCCTGAGCCCTTGGAGCTGTGCATTGCAGTGGCCTTGGCCTTGAGTCAGGGGAGCAGATCGGTTTTGAATCCTCTTTACCTCGTCTATCTGTTCATTAATTTTATCTTGGCCTTGTCCCTCATCATTAGCTTCTGCTGTTTCCTTTTCTTCCTTCTTATCTTGCTGGTTTTTATCTCTGTTTGACTTCCCAGCATCTAAGTTGTCATCTTTAGCAACAAGTTCAGAATCTTCCTAAATGGCAGAGGAAGAAAAAACAAAATCATCAGTCTTGATCTAAAAAGCTGTTTTCACATAGGTTGACTCCAGCTAATGCAGCTCTTAGACTGTCATTTCTGCCTGGGCCAATCCCATAAACATCCAGCTGACAGGGCATATGTGGTCCTATAAGGAAGGGTCCAGGTCTAAGCAGAGGGCAGGAGTAAGAGCAGGTGTGTGAACGGCATGCCGGTGGAGCTGTGCTGCTGTGTCATCACACCCAGCCCAGGGTCCCCTAAGCTAAGAGCGGGGAAGTTCAGTGGCCAATAGCAGAATCAGAGTGTTTACAGTGAGTTTTACCACTTCCCTCCTCCATAACACTTGAGGTGGCTCAGGTCAGGCTACTCTTTTAGATCTGAATACAATTAATAACATAGCAAAGAACAACGTAGAAAAAAAAAAACAACAACAAATGGAAGAAACAGAAGGGAAAAAAAAAAACAAGACAGAAAAGGAAGAGTGGTGAACGACGGAGTGGTAGTTGGCAGGA